AAGATGATGCAACTTTATGTAACTGGGCTAAATGTTTCTATACTAATAGATTGATGGACATACACATTGATCTAATGGATGAAGGTCATTTGTGCCTACTTCTAAGTATGATGAAGGTGGTTGGGTAGAATTGGAGAAAAATAATGAGAGTGAAGCAGAGAGCAGTGAAACAAGTGAGAGCAGTGAAACAAGTGAGAGTGAAAAGACAGATAATGAGGGTTGTGAAAAAAATGAAGGCAAGGGTAGTGAAAAAAATGAAGGCAAGGGTGCTGAGGTACCTGATAGGGGTGATGATGGGTGTGATAGTGATGGGTGTGATAGTGATGGGGGTGATAGTGATGGGGGTGATGAGGGTAGTGAAACTATAGACAGTGACTTTGATCTTAGATCAGAAAGTAGTTGTGGGAGGGATGATGCAGACTTTGATCACAATGTAGACAAATCTGTGGAGTCTGAAATTGAATCTGAGTCTGATAGTGGNACTGAAACAGTTGAAAAGAGAGAAATTGTATTTAATCCTAGCAATATCTATGATCCAACATTTGCACTAGGAATGGTCTTTGGTACTAGAGCAGAGTTTAAGAAAGCTGTACAGTCACATGCTATTAAGTCCAAAAGAAGTGTGAAGTTGAAAAAAAATGATAAGATTAGGGTCCATGTAGTATGTGATTCAGAGGAGTGTCAGTGAAAAATTCATGCCCTGAAGATTCCTGACCAGGAAGCCTTCAAGATAACCACTTACAACCCCACTCATACATGCCCTATATCTTTTCATCNCAAGTTTCAAGCTGATCCCTCAAGAAAAGTAAAGGGATTTAGAAGGGAAGTGGTTCATGAGTTGGGGGTTGGGATTTCTAGGCACCAGACTTATAGGGCTAAGAAGAGAGCTCTAGAGGTACTTGAGGGAAATCCAGATTCACAGTATGAAAAGTTGTGGGATTATGCCCAACAACTGAGGGATACAAATCCTGGTTCAACTGTGATTCTAGATGTTTTAGAAGATGATGGTGTTCCTAGGTTCTCCAAATTCTATGTTTGTTTTGCTGCAGTGAAGGAAGGTTTTAGGAGTGGTCTTAGGCCAATAATAGGAGTTGATGGCTGTCATTTGTCTGGACCCCACAAGGGTATTCTTCTGACTGATGTAGGTGTTGATCCTAACAACAACATATATCCCTTAGCTTATGCTGTGGTTGGTAAAGAAGCTAGGGATACTTGGGAGTGGTTTCTGATTGCATTGAAACATGATCTTGGCATTGTGCATGACAGTGATTGTACTTTCATTAGTGATAAACAGAAAGGGTTGATTGTGGCTTTTCAGAATGTTTTTCCTGACTCAACACATAGATTTTGTGTTACACATCTGCACAATAACTTTAAAAATGCTGGTTACAGAGGGGCTGCATTTAAAAATGCTTTGTGGGCTGCTGCACAGGCAGCTACTGTGGGTGAGTTCCATTTTAGAATGAGACAAATGAGAGAAATATGTGTAGAAGCTGCTGACTGGTTCAATGACAAGAACCCTACACATTGGTCAAAATCACAGTTTGAGGAAAAACCAAAGTGTGACATATTGTTGAATAACTTGTGTGAGAGTTTTAATGCATGCATTGTNATGAGACAAATGAGAGAAATATGTGTAGAAGCTGCTGACTGGTTCAATGACAAGAACCCTGCACATTGGTCAAAATCACAGTTTGAGGGAAAACCAAAGTGTGACATATTGTTGAATAACTTGTGTGAGAGTTTTAATGCATGCATTGTTGATGCTAGAGAGGAACCCATAGTGACTATGCTTGAATGGATCAGAATGTACTTAGTGAAAAGGCTTCAAAGAAACAGGGATAGGGCAGAGTTGAGATGGAAAGACAAAGTGTGTCCAAAGATCATTAAGACAGTGGAGGCTAATATGGCAAAGTTAGGTGACTGCATGCCTATGAAAAGTGACAACACTCACTATCAAATAGAGTGTTATGGTGGAGGTCAGTATGTGGTAGACTTGGAAAAGAAAACTTGCACATGTAGAGTATGTGGTAGACTTGGAAAAGAAAACTTGCACATGTAGGTTGTGGGACTTGAGTGGGATACCATGCAAGCATGCATGTAGTGCAATTGTATCTCAAAAGGGCAATCCAGTTGATTATGTGCATGACTTCTACAGTGTGGAAACATATAAAAGAGTTTACAAACCAGCCATCCTAGGTATTAACTGTCAGATGCTATGGAACCAAACCCATTTCATTCCACCTTTGCCTCCCACATTTGGGAGAGGTGCAGGTAGACCTAAGAAAGCAAGGAGGATTGATCCTG